TTAGCTAAAGTGGGGAGACGACAGCTTGCATGGCAGGGTTAAATGAGAGGGTGCGTGGAGCCCGCTGGCACGGCGCCTGCACCCCGCCCGCGCTTGGCACGCGGAGCTGCCGGGGCGCTTGTGATCTCTGTGTCCCCAGCATTGAACCCAGGTCACCCACCTGCCGGTGCGGGATCCAGACCAGGGGTATCCTGTCCTCACAGCCCCTCAGGCAGGCAAGGGAGTGACAGGGGAGGGTCAAAAACATGACATTTAAGTGTCTGGGTTGAAATCCAGGATTCTGGGTCCAGGCTGTCTGATTTGAAGCCCTGCGCAGCTACTTTTGAGCTGTGTGACCTTGGGCAATTGACATAACTTCTCTGAGCCACAAATTCTTTATCTGCAGAGTGTATAAGGTAATAATTACTCAGTGCTAGGATTGTTTTGAGGCAGTGAGGAGATCTGTAAGACGCCTTAGCTCTGTGTCTGGCACATAGTAATCATTGCCAACTTTTGTCAAGCAGCTACTGTTATTGCCAGAGTTGTTTGTCCAACTGGGCAACCCTGGGGCAGCCAGTGAGAATGACCAGTGGCTGATTCACAGGGTGGGGGCATGAGTCTCAGGCCTGAGCCCCAGGGGGCCAGGACTGACCTTGGGGCAGTGCCCCAGCCCCACGTGCCCCAGCTTCCTCTCCTGCACACAGGGAACTCAGGGGGTTCTGTTGCAGTTTCCTCTTCAAGGGGGATGGGGGGTGGCTGGCACTGGAGGGTGAGGTGACGTTGGCCGCAGAGTGGGGCACAGGCTGTTATTGTTAGCTTCCCTCCTTATCCGGACCGTTCTGGGCCCTGGCTTTTTGGAGGGCAGGGGGCTTGTGTGACATGATGCCGTGTGTGTGTCAGCGCAGCCTCCTGGCAGAACAGACGTCCCTCTGTGCCCTGGTTGTGCCCGGCAGTGACCTGCCCTCCCTATGGGCAGACAATGTTTTTGGATTGTGAGCTGAGGTCCCCTAAAAAGGCTGGGCCTGGCATACCTGCAGATACCTTTGATGGGCTCGGGGGCATGGCTCAACCCCCTGGAGCCAGGGCTGGAAGTGCAGGAGGGTGACTGTCCCCCTAGAAGCAGGGTGCCCCAGAAGTGGAGGCTGCAGGGCTGGGTGATGAGGTAGACTCGGGGACACTCGTGATGCAGCGTCCTGTTTGTGTCGTTGGCCGGGCGGGCCTCCTGGGAGGCGGGTCTCAGTGTGGGGGGAGGTAGGGTCCTTGGGGCGTGCATCCTCCCTGTGGGACCCGGAAGACACGCTGGCGACATGCAAACCTGTGGTCCTAATGTTTTCACTTTTCACAGTGCGCTGGCCGGTGGGATCGGGCCTCATGTCCGTTTCCACACAGAGGCTGAGGTCACTGTTGCTGCCTGCTTGGCTCAAGGAGAGGGAGTGGTGGGACAGGGTGGCTGCAGAAGGGGCTTCGGGTTCTCTGCTGCTGGCTGCGGCCCCCTGGACCTAAGTGTGTGAAATCACCTGTGGAGGGGTGTTCAGGCCCTGTTGTGGGTTCCCACGAGGGGACCCTGCCTCGTGTGGCCATCTGACCTGAGGACATCCTCGGTGTGGGGAGACACTGCCCTCGGCTTGCAGTGGCCAAGGCAGGGGCGCCGTCCTTCGGAACGCACTGGTGGGTGGGTGGAGGGGCCTGCGTGGCTCTGTGTGGGGCTCTCAGGGTGGGCGAGGTTCTCACAGCGGCTGTGCCGAGGGAGGGGACTGAGGGCTGAAGGAGCTGCATGGTGGGGGTGCCCTGTGTTTAGAGGTGCCCCGTAGCCTCTGCTTGCCAGCCCTGCCTGACTGAGGTTGCTGGCGAGCAGCAGAGGTGGAATGGCCTGTTCCCCAGTGCCAGCGCAGATACCACAGGTCTCCCTCTCTCGCCCTCCCTCTCCCTCCACCTCTGCCCCCACTACCTGGCCTCTCCACTTGAAAGCCTCCCCCCTTCACTGGGCTCCAGTCTTAGGCCTTCCACATGCTCCTGTGCTCAGTTTCCACATCTGCAAAGTGAGGATGGAGACGGCCTGCAGCGTGCGGGAGTCCAGACAGTGGAAGACACCGGAACTCCTTCGTGGCTGGTCTGAGGGTCCGGGGTCCTTCCTGCCACCTGGGGTGTCTCCCCAGCCTGGGCTGTGGTCGTCCTGGTCCCACACGGGGCCTGGAGCTAGGAGCTGTGCTGGATCACGGTGGGGAGTCAGCCAGCTTGTAGGGGTGCCTTGGCTCAAGGGTTTGAGGGAGGCGCAAGGCAGGAGGGTTGAGGAGATGCTGGCAGCTGCCCTCTGCTCCCCTTCGGGCCCCCTGCACTCACGGAGACAGCTGCCCCTGCTCGGGCTCAGGCCTGCCTGGAATCCACTTGCACACGCCCCTTCTGCCCCTGCCTGCCCCCGCTCGCAGGCTGCAGCCTGTCCTCCCGCACAGGCCGGGTCTGGTGGGGCGGGAGAGAGTGCTGGAGCAGGCTGGGCTCTGGTGCTCAGGGGCTGGGAGTGGCCTCCTCCTAGGGAGCAGGTTTGGGTACGGGCGGGCGCCACTGGGAGCCCCGTGCGAGGAGGTTCTCCAACTCTCTAAGCCTCTGACTGACATGCAGCCTTTATTGAGCACCAGCTGTGTACGGACAGTCGGCCCGGCCCGGGCGGTGGGCAACATGGATGCAGTGTGCCCCCCGACAGGCTCAGGCCCACTGCGGGAGGGCGTCGGCGCCCAGGGGCCTGTGCCCAGAATTTCAGGGTGCCAGGAGGGCACGAGGGGGCCAGGTAGAGTAGGGCAGGGGGAAGGGATGAGGGGGAGGGGCAGTGGGGGAAGAGGCACCTGCAGAGAAGGGCCGGAGGAGAGGAAAGAACCAGTCGCCAACTGACCCGAAGAACTTGCCAGGTAGAGGGAACAGCAAATGCAGCCGCCTGGAGGTGGGAGGGGGTGCCAGAAGCTGCGGGGACTGGGAGTTCGGACCCGCTTCTGCTGTTGGGAGGCTCTGAGCGGGGATGACGTGATCGCATTTTTGAGATCAGTTCTCAGGAAATACTTCCTGAGTGAGCAGGGCTCTCAGGAGGGGCGCCCACAGGCCAGGCGGCTGTGGCCTGCCCACCTGGCTCTGCCCCCCAGAGCTTGGGGGGCAGCTCACAGGCCTTTGGGGCCTCCACTTCTCCAGTTGGGGCTGCTCCTGCCACGGTTTCCTCGGCAGTCCTGTGACTCCTGGTGTGCCCTTGGACTTGAGGGTGCCTCCCGAACTCCCCGGTTACTTTGCCTACTGGGGGGCCCCTCCTCCTTGCTGCTGCTGTTTAAATTCCCACTTCCTGCCACTGAACTACCCCTGCCCCCAAGCACGCGCACGACACTGACTTGCCTTCCTGTCAGAGCCCCATGGAGGCTCCAGCAGGCAGTGGGGGGCAGGGGGCGCAAGGGAAGCGAGTGCCCTCCCTGGCAGGATGAGCACGTGGAGGGGCCAGAGGGCAGGCGGTCACCTGTCCCAGCCGGAGGCCCGAGAGAACCGGCTGCAGTGGTGGTTGCGGGCAGCCCCACTTGTGGGGGGTCCCGGGGGCAGCAGGGCCACTCACAGGGCCGCGGGTGCAGCCATGCGCTGGGGCGGCTGCCCTTGCCCCTGAGGGCGAGGCGGTGGCCAGCTCTGGGCTGTCCCGCCTCCCCTCGGCCCCTCTGCAGATGTGGGCACGTGACCGGCAGGTACTTGGGGGGTCTGCAGTTCCCAGGGCCAGGTTCTGGGGCAGACGCTGAGCCTGGAGCTGGAGCGGGGTGGGGAGCGGGGACTTCCTGGAAGGAGCCACTTCTAATTAAGACTGACTGCTCAAGGACGGGCAGGCTCCCCACTGAGCGGAGGGACATCTGTTCCAACTCGGAGTTGGTGTCAGCCCTCTTTGGGAAGGGCAGTTCCGACGGGCTGGCTCCCGCCAAGCGCAGCCTTCCTGCGGCTAGGAAGCCTGGAGAGCCCTCGGCCCTCGGCCCTCAGCCCCAGGCGCTGGGCGGGTTTGTGGAGCCCTGGGAGCAGTAAGCAAGAGTCTCGGGGCGCAGAGGAGCGCGCTCAGTGCTTTGTCTCCCACACCCCTCCCCAGCCTCCCCAAGCCAGCCTCCCCAACAGGAGCGGGCCTGGGGTGGTCCAGCGCCCCACCCCCACCCGGCCAGCGTTGGCCACAGCGGGGCGCCTGGAGCCACGTTCTTTGACCCTGCCAGCGGCCCCGTGCGGCCTCGGGAGCCGTGGGAGCCGTGGCAGATGCCACTCCCCGGCATCTTCTCCCGCAGGCCTCGGCCTCTCCCGGCCGCCTGCCCGGCGTTCAGTCAGCACGTGACACTGGGCCCTTCCGGGCAGCCTCGGTGTAGGAGCCGCCTGTGGTCTGGCTCTGCACCAGACCTGAGCCTGGGCGGGGCGGGGCCTCGGCCCCACTGTCCCCAGGCCTTGGGCGCTTCCTCCCCGGCCGGTGCAGTCCCTGTGGGCACAGGCTGCTGCCCGCTGCGCCTTCCGGACGACTTGGTTAGCTGTATGTGTCTCCTGCGTGCGAGCCGGGCCGATGTCACTTCCCGGCCTTTGCGTGCCCTTCGCCCACCACCACACGGGGCTCCTGGAGCCCCTCAGCGGTCGCTGAATGCCTCGTGGTGCCAGGCTTCCGGAACATTCTCAGCCTCTGGCCCTCTCTGAACCTCCCCTGCAAGGCGTCGCGGGTCGCCGGGGCCTGCCTGCTCTGCGTCTCGGCCCCTGGCCGAGTTCAGGGCTCCTCTACACCCCAAGACCTTGCACTTGCTCACGCAGCTGCAGAAGCGCTAGGCGGTGGGAGGTAGTGATGGGGCGAGCAGAGAGAACGCTGGTCACATGGCGAACGGGAACAGAAACAGCAGCAGCCAGCCGGCGTGCGGCTCGCTGGGACGAGGGCAGGGCTGGCAGGCCTCAGAACTGGGTCAAAAACCCTGTGGACAGCCCGGCGCAGGCCCGGGCAGCCCGGGCCCCAGGGCAGCCCCGGATGTAACCTCACCTTGCTTTGTCTTCCAGGACTTCCGTGTCCAGCCTGACTGCCAGCCTCGCTGAGCGGTGGCCCCCTACGAGCTTCCCACCACAGAAGCCTCCCACACGCTGACCATGTCTATTATGGACCACAGCCCCAGCACCGGCGTGGTCACGGTCATCGTCATCCTCATCGCCATCGCCGCCCTGGGGGCCCTGATCCTGGGCTGCTGGTGCTACCTGCGGCTGCAGCGCATCAGCCAGTCGGAGGACGAGGAGAGCATCGTAGGGGATGGCGACACCAAGGAGCCCTTCCTGCTGGTGCAGTATTCAGCCAAGGGACCCTGCGTGGAGAGAAAGGCCAAGCTGACCCCCGGCGGCCCGGAAGTCCACGGCTGAGCTGGGATGCAGAGGCTCCCGGGCCCGCCTGCAGCCCGCCGGGAGGCGCCGGAACACGCAGACGTGCTGCTGCCTGAGGGCTGACGCTGGCATGGCCTCGCGGGCTTCACCATCGCATGCACTGACTCCCGGGGCTCCAGCCGTCCCGAGCAGGACGCCGTGGCCCTGGGCATCCCCTGGGCCGCCTGGTGGGGCTGCCCATTGCAGGCAGTGGGCAGGCCTGACCTTGCTGGGGCTCCTGGCCCCCTAGCGCTTTTGTTACTTGAATGTTTAGCTGAGCCTGTTTTTGATGGAGCTACTACTGTAACGCGCGAACTCACACACCTGTGAACTGTAAATAGGCCCCCAGAGCACGTGCTTAAGCCCCTTTTGCTGAGTTTCTAAACCGTTGTATAGAGCACATGGGACCGACCACACTAAGGGTCAGCTGAGCCAAGGCTAGGGAGGAGGGTCTCAGGCTCGCCAGGCCCGAGGTGCCCTTGGCCAGGGGGGTGGGGGAGGGCCCTGGTGCGGGGGTGCAGAGGAAGTGGCCCGTTGGCTTGAAGTCTCGCAGTGGGCCAGTGGGGGTGCTTCGGTGAGCTCCGCTTGGTTAGCCGTGGATGGAGAAGAGCCACGCCCCTCGCGAGGCTTCTAGGTAGATTCGGATGTTCGCGGCCAGTTCCTGTTGACGGTGGAGCAGTTGCAAGGAAGCTGTTTCGGCTGCTTGGGAGCCAGTGAAGGACAAGTCCAGAGTCCCGAGGGCTGCCCGTGGCCACGTAGCAGAGCAGTGTCTTGCCCCTCTGGCCTTGGCACGAGGATGCCCGTCCCAGCCCCTGCCTTACCCTGTGAGCCCCGCCTTGCTCGCATCGCTCTGACCCCCATGGAAACATCTGAGCCCATGTGGCTTCTTCTACCTGAAACCCAGTTGGCTCAGAAAAGAGAAAAAAAAAAATGTGTCTTTGTGAATTGTTGTATTTAGTATTTTCTGCACTGGAAGGGGGCAGGGGAATTGAAGGGTCTCCCCCTCTTCCCTTTTCCTAAATACTGTCCTCTCTGATACCACCCATCTGCTGGGTGCTGGTTTCACTTTCCCTAGCAGGCCGTTCGGGCTGGGATCCCCGGCCTAGGAGCCCCCGGTCACTTCCTGCTCACACAAGCACAGAAACCACACCCTCCCCCCCACCCCCCAGCGGGGGCATCTGGGAAGGGCAGGTCAGGGCCTGGTTTTCACAGGGATGAGGAGCTGGTGGCTGCAGGTGATGCTACGCCCCGGCAGCCTGCTTCTAGGTGACCCGTGTGCATGTGTCTGAGCCGGCTTCGATTTCTAACCCGCCACTATAAGCACATCCTCAATGGCTGCGATTAGAACAGGCCCAGTGGCATCCTGGGAGCCAAGTCTGGCCCTGGCGCTGGGCAGGCTGCCAGCAGCGGGATGGAGCTCCCAGGTGGCAGCAGCCCACAGCCTCACTGTTACCCCCCCCACCCCAAAAGCTCTGGTCTCCCGGGCAGGCTGAAGGTGCCCCTCTGGCCTCATCAAGTCCCCTCTGAGAAGTGTTTGAATTAAACTGCTTCCTGGAACCCCAGGCTTCGGGAACACTTACGTTAGCAGCAAACGTGCCCACATGGGTGGGTCAAACACTAAAAATTAGCTCGGGGGAAAGGAGAGTAGCTAGGCAAGTTCAGCTGGAGGCAGGGTTGAGGTACCCCAGGCGGGCCACCGGGGAAACCTTGGGAAGCAGCTGGGCCTTAGCTGAGGCCACGGCTCTGCGTCCCTCACGGGGGTGGCCAGGCCGGAGCCTGGAGGGACCAGGCAGCGCAGGCTGAGGGTGGGAGGTGTGCTGCCGCGGAAGGGCTCTGTCCCCTCCCCGCACCCCGGGACTCCCCGCGTCCTACCTCTACTTTCCGCAGCCAGCACACACCTGGGCCGTCTGCACCTAAGTTACCCAGAACAGACGCCGGGGTACTTGCAGTCTCCGGGCTGGCCCCTGAGGATGACGTGACGTGCAGGCCTGCCCTGGGCTTTGCTCACCAGTCAAGTTTTGACAGGAGGGGGTGCCCCCTTGGCCTCTTTACTCTGTCTGCCCCAGTGGCGTGGTGGCCGTGCTGGGGGTGGGGGGAGGGCGAGCGGCCTGGTGACACCGGTGCGGTGGGGGAGTGAAAAATGCTGTAGGACTGGCGGCCAGCCACACAGTGCTCTCGCTGTGCTGACGTGCCAGGCTGCTCTCCAGCGTAGACACCGGAGCCGCGCACCCCAGTGGCTCAGGAAGTCACGACCTGTCACTGAATCCTCTGAACAGCACGACTGTTGCGTCCGAGTCTCCTCACCACTCCCCTTTCCTCCCGTGCGCCACCCAGCAGCACCCGAGGGGCGGCGGCCGCTGAGCCCCGGGACGCAGGCGAACTCTCCAGGCAGCGCTTCGCACGGACTGTGCCACTGTTTGCCTCAAAGCTACCAAGTTTGTGCAATACGTGCAAGGGATGGCCTCCCTGCTCAATAAAGCTGAATGACATTCAAGCTGATTTTCTAGACCACTGAGAAAATCTTTATTTACAATAAATTTCAATAAAATTTGCATAAATATATTCCCAATGTACAGTGTTCGCTCTGGCTTCTTCGCGTCATTTCAAGAGTTCGCCTGTCCTGTTCTCGTGGCTCCTTTCGGGCGCCAGCGCAGCGCTGGCGTTGGGAGCTGGGGCGGAGCTGCCAGGCAGCCTGGGCGCGCCCGCGGGCTCGGGGCGGTCCGAGTGCGCCTCGCTCCGGGGGGCCCGGTGCTGGGCTGCGCCCCGGCCCTCCAGTCTCCGCTCCATGGTGGCCACCAGGATCTTGAGCCAGGCGTTCTCGGTGAGGAGGCTCTCCGAGGCGTCGGCCAGCTCCTGGAGCTTGCGGGCCACCTCCTCCAGCTCGCGCGTCTTCTGCTCGTACAGGGCCTGCAGCTGCTCGCTGTGCAGCCGGAGCAGGCCGTGCTGCTGCTCCAGGGTCTGCTTCTGCCGCAGCAGCCGGTGCTCGTCCCTGCGCGCGCTGGACAGCCGGGCCTCCACCTGCACCTGTGCCCGCTGCAGGGCGCTGATCTCCGCCCTCAGCTTCTGGATCTCTCTCTCCAGGTGGGAGATGTGCCCCTGCTGGAGCACGGCCTCGCTCTGAAGACACTCTTTGGTAGGAGGGTTAGCCAAGTTGTGGGGGGCAGAAGCAGGGTTTGAGTGATGCAAAATGAACCTCAGCAGGTTTGGAAGGGTGATGGGGAGGTCTTCGGGGTATTTCACACTGAGGTCCTTTCTGGAGGGAAAGAGAGATGAGAGTCATTGACATTGCTAGGCCAAACCCAGGATGCTGGTGAGGACAGTCCAGGCCTGACCAAAGACAGCGAGGACTGTACCCACTGAAAGTCCATGAGGAAAATGTTATCTGGGCCCCCCCCAAACTGGCTGCAGGTGCCCAAATGCTTGTTCTGAGAGGAAGGTGGCTTGCATCAAATGTGTTCTCTCTCCTTGGGAACAAACAACTCAGTTTCTGTTCACAACTTTCCCAAAAAAACCAACGCTTCCAGGCCCCAAGAGCCCAGTGACATGGGCCCTGGGAGAGCGTCTGACAGCCGGGAGTGTCAGGAAGCACGTCCTGGGGCAGACTGTCACCTATGTCCCTCTGTGGCCTCAGTGCTTGGTGAAAGAAAATTCCTGAAACACCTAGTTTCTTTGGCAAGCGCTTACCATGTACCATCCAAAGCAGGAGTTTGTAACTGGGGGATGACTGTATGCCCCCCGCTCAGTTGGGGACACTTGGCAACATCTGAAGACATTACCGTCATGACTGGGGAAGTGTTTACTGGAGCCCCAACCCTTGACAAACCAACCAAGGTACTCTGAGAGCCGGGTCCTGAGGTCAGAGCACAGGTGAAGGAAGGGGGGTGATCGGCGGAGGGTCTCCTGTGAAGCTGCGTTGCAAGTCCGGAGGTAAAAATTCCTTTCTAGACCTTCTCATTTAGTTGTCTGATGATCGAAATGTATGCAGAGGTTCAATTACCTGCACACACAACTGACTCCGTGCCTGCGAGGCTCAGTTCTGAGCGTGACCAGGGCGCCAGGCGGCCCCTGGGCCCTGCCCGGGGCAGACACACGGGGCTACGCTCGCCGTCACCAGCTCCTGCACGAGAGACTGTGCTGTGCCCTGAACTGCTGTGCCTGTAAAATGGGGGTAAGCCTACCCCCTCGACCTCACAGGACTGCTGTAAGGATAATGTGGGTTAAGTGAATGCGCAGTGTTAGCGAAAAACAAAACAAAAACCACATTGTTCCTTAAAAAACCAACCAGAAGCCATTCATTAAAAGCTTACACACACACATACCCCCCCCCACACACACACACATAAAGACAGTAGCCAAATGTCTAAGAAAAGACAACGCTATCTTAATGAGGGAGCCCTTTCCGTCACTAAGGCACCAGGAACCCACCGCCAGGTCTGCCCCACCTTATACAGCGCTTATGGAAACTTTCAGGTACACGAGTCACTGCACACATGAAGGGCTTGGAGCGCTGCAGGTGAGCTGTCTGGGGAATGACTCGGCCGAGTGCATAGCCACAGCTCCTTCAGAGCACAGCTTTCTTAACATGTAAGTCTCCTCCAAACAGGGCCTGCCAGCCATTCACTTGACAGCGAGCTGCACCCTGGCAGCTAGGAAGTGGGGCGAGGAGGGCCAGCCGCTGACCTGCACTAAGTTCTCTCCTGGTCACAGCCTGGTCGCCGGGTGAGTGGGCAGCGTGCTCCGGGCAGGAGAGCGGACAGCCCCACACACGCGTCGGGAGACGCTCCGGCCCGAAAGGAGCCTGCTGCGCCCGTGCCTGCCACCACCTTCTCGAACCTCTCTAACAGGTGAGCTAAAGTAGGCTCCGACTTTTCAGGAACCGCGAGGACGAGTTCACATCAACAAGCTGCTTCCCAGAGAGCAGCTTGGCTCCACTCAGTACTTTCGAAAGCAGTGGGGGGACCCGCCGCCGGCTCCTCTCGGCTCTCCAGGTGCCCGTCCTCCTGGCCCCAGGGCCAGCCATGGAAACGGCCGCTACCCAAGGAGGGGCTCCTCGGGAGAAACAAGCCCTTCCCAGCAGACTCATTGCCCTGAGCCCCCTTCCACCTCCTAACCCAGGTGTCCTGGGCACCTGACTTGGACGTCACCTGGAGGGGAGGAGGGGGCCGCTGGGGTCATGGCAGGCCCAGCCGCTCGAGTGGGGCCGTGCTCTCCCCGGGGCTGCGCACTCGCCATGGTGAGGGGGGCCGCCTGGTGGAGACCACCCACAAAGGGCCTGAAAAGCACCCCCAGATTGCTCACCCCTTCTGGCGGTTTCCCTTCTGTGCCCATTTTAACCCAGCACACATGTAAATGTTTTCTCAAAACATGCAGACACTTCATCATCTTTCCACTAGAAACAGCACACACGTGCTCTGTGAGAAAGGGCCTTTCCACTTCCTCTTCTGCAAGCTGCCAGCTGGGTCCTCTGTCCACCTCCCTTCTCTGAGTAAACGCGACACTAGCTCTGGAGCAGCCAACGAGGCACACACTTCACCGCGGACTGTTTATCTTCAGGAAGCCAGGAGTCCAGTCCACGCAGTGAGGCCTTGGCCTGCGAGCACTTTCCAGGAAATCAGAACTGGACGGCCTACTCGTTCAAGACTTGTACTCTAGCCCAAGGGGCTGAGAACCGGCGTCATCGCCGTGTGGCTGGCGTCAGGCGGCCGTCGGCCCAGAGGCCTGGCCCTGACACCGAGGGCGTCTCCTCTCGGCACAGCCACGGCCCACAGCTGCTGTGCATTAGGACCTGGCTCCTCCTCGGACTATGTCTGGAATTCAGATACGACGCGTCCTTCAGCGTCAGCCCCCTCTGGGCACACGGCTGAAAAGGCCAGTGCCGCTGCCCGGAGTGTGGGCTTCACACACTTCTTAGAGAGAAAAAGCTCACCAGGACGGAGTCAGCAGCGGGACAGAGCAAATCTCTGCTCTCAGTGCTTAACTGGACAAGACGCTGCCACAGGAAATACTTCAGCAGAAACTCTTGGCGATGGAGGTCACGACTGAGGAAGTGATGTGATGGTGAGAGGAGGCACCCTCCGGGCAAGCCTGGCAGCCACCAGCAGGCGCCAGCGAGGCCCTCAACAGCGAGCGCCACGTGGCAGCCAGCCTCACCAGAATGGCCCGCGAGAGCTCGTCCCCGGAGGCACTGTCGAAGTGGGGCCCCTGGGTCCCCTTTTTAGAACAAAAGAGGATCTGTGAAAGGGGAGAGAACATCTGGTCTACCCGCCTTCACAGGCCAAGAGTTCATTTCCTTTTCTGCGGAAACATCCGCACCCCGCCCCTGCGGAGGCCGCCGTCAACCGCCTGAGGGCGCCGGGGCGCAGTGTGGGGTCAGGGCGGTGACCGGGGTGACACATGTGGGGAGAGCTGCGTGAGCCCCAGGAAGGGGCGCAGGGGCTAGGAGAGCCTCAGTCCCCCCGCAGGGGGCGAGGAGGCTGTGGAGGGGCTCAGTGGGGAACCCCCACAGGAGAAGGGGGCTCACGGGCGCAGCTGCTCTGCCCGTAGGGAGGGGCTTCTCTGCTGCCAAGCTTTGCGCCAGCCCTGTGCTCCCTAGGTGAAGGAGGAGAGGCACTCTGATGGCCCCCTCGCATTCGTGTGCGAAACACAGCTCTGGGAAGGCAACATTCTCACCAAAGCACCGGCACCGCCCCACGTGGCCTCCACAGCAAAGCCCTCCGACCCTTGGTCCTAACGGCACAGTTTACTCAGTCATTGAGTCATCACCAATGATTCATAATTCACTTCTGTGAAATGGTAGACTCGTTTCATTAACAGCCAAACAATCCCACCTACCCCAATATTGAAAAAATTCAACATTACCTGTTGCAGGGGAAAAATAAGACGGTAGGAAGACGGTCAACCATAAATTCCCAGGGAAGATCATTCTGAGACACGTCGATCCTGCAGAGGCAAAGGACAGAGGATCAGCACAAGTGGCTCTGACCGCAAAGCAGCCTCCCCGCAGCTGAGGGGCCTGGACACGCTCCAGGCCGCGTGGTGACGGCGCCGCGAGGACCTGCTACCCGCTGCTGCGTGTGCTGCAGGGAAACGCCATGCCCCGAAGGTGCAGAAGGGCTCCAGAGCCACACCTGCCGGGCCTGGGCCCTCCTGCCGCCCTGAGTCAGCGCTGGGAAAAGGAAACCCCTGGACAGAGTGCAGCGGGCCTCTGACGATGGGAGAGAACTCGAGAGAAAAGCTACATGTACTCTGTAAATGTGATCTAACGCCAAAGAAGCATTTAAAACCTTAGCAGATTTTCAGTTAACTTCCTAATACAGGAAATGATGGGAGTTACCCAACCTGTACTCGGTGACGCCTGGCCAGGCTGGGCAAATAATGCCCAGAGCTGAAGGAAATGTTTCCAGTTGTGAACCTGGTGGAGATTTTGAGAAAGTAGAATGCGGGCAAGGGCGCCCATTGGCCCAGGAAGCTGGCGCTCACTTCATAAAGATGGGCATAAGCAAACTGCGGTCTCACACAGTTTAACAGGCAAGTCCACGCTGGGCCAGCCCACCACAGCCAGAAACGTCAGTGTGCCAGTGTTGAAACAGTGGGTCAGACACTGTCCTAGGAGATGACCAGGTGTTTTTCTCCTGATTTTTACTTCAAAGAAAGACCAAACTGAAATTACAGGGAGACCCCTGGGTATATCCTCGGGGCTCACCTGGACCTTCTTTCTGGGCCTCTCCTGGGCTCTGTGTGTTGTGGCCTCCAGGAGCCGAGGGGGCGCGTTTCGCACTCGAGGCTTCTCAGTGGACGGCATGGAGGGCAACGAGGCCACCCGTGCCACCGTGACTGGCCAGCCATGCCCCTATGCCGGGCAGGTGAGCCACGGGACACATTTCTCTGCAAGTCCTATTTCCTGGTCTCCCCAGAGTGAAAGCAACTAGGTCAAATACTGGGGTTTCTTGCAATTGCTGCTAAAATGCTTTTCAAAAGGGTCATGCCGACTTGCTTACTGTGCCGACGAGAGTTCACTGCGCGTTTCACCTCACCAACAGGTGTTGCTCAGAAGCCCTTGCCGGCGGCTCTCCGCCCACAGGGGACGCATCAGGTGTTCGCGTAGTAAGCGCGGCGACATTTATCAGATCACAACCTCCCCGTTTGTTTTCCGTCTCTCTGCGCTGAAAAACCTCTTCCCGTTTGTTCAGCTGCTTTCAGCTACCCTCCCCTTTCCCTTCTTGTGGTAAAACAACACCGTCACCCTGCCCTCCCCATGTCGGGGCACCGCAATGGCTCTACTGCACCTGGCACAGCCTTCGCCTCGGTACGGCGCCGCAACCCCCCTCACAGAACCAAAGCTGCCCGGCCGCTCTCCCTCCTGTGACTGACTCTTGCCAGCGCCCGTCAGGTGGCCGTCACAGGCGGCCTGTGGCATCACCTCACTTGACATCATGTCCTCCAGGCTCCCGACACCCGGGTCACGGCCGCCTCCCACGTGCACACAGCACGTCTTCCTCCGGGCGGTTTCTCAAACTACTTAATTCCCCAGGGTCTGGAACATGAACACGGTTCTGAGTCCCAGTCTCCTGGCCAAGGCTGTGTGACGGGGCCAGTTACGTCACCTCTCTGTGCCTCAGTTTCCTCGATTACGCGTGGAGCTCACCTGCCTCACTGAGCGTCCCGAGGACTCAGGCAGAGATACGTAAGCGCAGAGCGTGGCAGCACCTAGCTCCACACATGCACGGGTGGGCGACTGTCTTCAGCCTGTGTTCAGGCTTCATTTCCACTGCACATTGGTAGCGTGGAATCTGCTCATCTTCCTTGCATCGTTTCTTTTTTTAACTGCTTCACTTTAGAAAATGTCCATCTCCCAAAGGAACTAACAAATTGACTGTTCGGCCTACTGGTATTTTTTCTACAATTGAATCTTTAATAAGTAATTCTAAGTCTATCTATCTCAAAGGGTTTGTGGGGAGGAGCGAGATGAAGAAAACAGCTTAAATCTAAACATTTCTCCCCCAAGGTGCTTATTACCTTCTCTTCTCTCCTCCCCCCATTACCTTCTCTTTTAAATCTCTTTGCTTGAACTTTGTTTCTATAAAACAATGACACGTTTTCTTCTACCTGCTGAAAAGCCCACACCCGGAGCGGGATCACAGGCGGCCACAGCACCGCCTCTTCACTGAAGGGACGAGGCGGGTGACGGTCAGTCCCTCCTGGGGGACGCGCTGCTGGCGTTCCAGGGCCTGGCCCGCCTCAGGCCCCTCCCTCAGGTTGTGGGTGCTGGGCCACTGGGTCGCACACAGCCAGGCCTGCCTCCCGCCACCAAGCTGCACCCTGCCCCGCACGCACTCGGGACCACACACACAACGCCACAGACAGGGGCGCACTCAAACACCACAGGGAAACTGGTTTCCATGTGGTTTTGCTTAGGCTTAAGCATACAATTCAACAGTCTTACCCCAGGCTTGTGGAAAACAGGTCGCAGGGCCCAGCGGTCGGCAGCAGTGAAGGCAGGCACGCGGCCCCAAGCGCCACGGCACCGGCCTCCTTACCTGGCCACAGTGAAGGTGTCCGTGGGCAGGAGACGCGCTAGCTGGATGAAGACGTGATTGAGGGATGGACAGAAGCCGCACCACGGGGCGTAATAGAGCAGCAAGACGTCCTGTGGAGGGAGGCGGCCGTTACTGGGCCTGAAGCAGGCGCCTCGGGCTCCTCAGTGAGCTCAGAACCCACAAGCATCCAATAAACGCTGCTTGGGCAGCGATCACATGTGAGACGGAACCCTCAGGTCCCTGCAGCTCTGCGCTTTATGCAGACTCCTGGCAACTAGAAAGCCAGCCTGCGACCTCTGCCTGTTTCGCAGTCAGTCGGCCACCAGTCAGCCTTCCGCACTGCAACGCTCAACTGCTCACCCAACAACTGCAGCGCTGCACACTGTTTTTTAGGGATACAGGGCCTGATTTTTGCCTCTCTCACGAATCCATACCTGCTTTTGAAGGACTACTTCCCAAAAGGTATCAGTTGTCACTTCAGTGATTAAATGTGGAGAAGGGAACTGGGCAGAGTCACTTCCAATGAGGTGTCTTTTCAAGGGACTGTAGAGGACGCTGAAGTTTTGAATAAAAGACTCTGCAAGTAAAGAGAAAATGAGATCAACTCCTGTCTAGGTATAAGGAGGGGAGCTGGCCCAGCTTCCGCTCTACATTCCAATAGCTAGAAAGGCTCCACATTTTTAACACTTCACCTACTGGCAAAACCCTGAGCAAAGCTGCCAGGAGGTGCCAGCCAGAGGACTGACCCAGTGCAGCGAGCGAGGCGATAGAAGCAAGGCGGGTGGATGCTCTGTCGAAGCCTGGGGCCTCCGCACGCGGGCTCTCCCGGGCTGGTCCAGACAGCTGTGCAGGTGGACGCCAGCAGCCACGACCCCTAGGTCTCACCGTGCCACCCAGGCCTACATGCAACTGCCAAGGCCTCGTGCTCATTAACTTCAGGACAAGAAACTACAGTTTTGTTTCTTTTATTAACATTTTTCATGATTTTTTTCTTAGAAGGTTAAGAAAATAAACTCAAATTATATTTAGTGGCCTCAAATTATATTTAGTGGCATTATACACAAAAAGATCCCATCCATTAACCAAACCCTAAGCTGAGCCAACAGCTCCCCACTTCTGAAGCAGCACCAGTGTGGGCTTCACTTCTCCTCCTCCCTTCAAGCTCTCCATTCTGAGGCCTGAGAGAACAATGCCTTGCTCTCGAGGGAGAAGAAGTGGAGGCTGTCCTGTGAATACTAAGGAGAATTCATCATCAGCATCTGAATAACACTTAGTTGGCTCTGGTTTGGGACCATAAACCAAGAATTCTTTCCTGACCTGAATGCAGCTTAAACTCCGAAATGGCCCCAGGGAAAGCCGACTTCAGAGTCAGCAGTGACTCTGACCCCCAACTGTAGGATAAAGAACAACAGAGCTAGATATTTCAGAGTAGACACCAAAGATGAAAAAAGAGCCGAAGGAAGCTTTTTCAGATTATCCTATAATTCAAAATGCACACACAAAAGAGCTCATGAAACACTGTGGGTAACTGAACAGAATTCACCAAAATCCAGTAAACAGGTGCTTTAAAACTACAGGTTTGTTTCATTTTAAGAAGACACAACACACTGAAATGTAACTTAAGACACATCAGGACTCGGGGTCCCTTCAAACGCTCTGGAACCCCTGTGTTAGTATATAATCTGATATAGGAAAGAGTCAACATTTACAGAAGCCTTGCACATGCATCTAGCGTAAGAAACAAGTTTCACCTGGAACAGGACTTGGAGGGCGACTGCTAAATGCACTGTTAAGGGTTCGAAGTCACCTTTGCTTTCCTAGTGAAAACAAAAGGTTTCCGTTCCTTAGCAAGTCCATCCTGCCTCTGCTTGGCAGACACTGACTTTCCGCCCTGGGTTTCCAGTGAAGCTGAACTAATGTGGCTTTTCTGTGCTCGCTGCCTGGCGCGTGCGTCCCGGGGGTCAGCTAAGTCCTGGGAACGGCACTGCTGGGTCAGTTCGCTGCCCAGCCCCAAGGGCAGGCTCTCCAAGCCTTCCCCATAATGGGGCCTTACCCCAGTCAGTGTTTTTGCTGGTTACCCTCAGCCACTGCCGCACCTGACACTCGTCAGGCACACGCCGGCGCCCAAGGCCAGGGCAGCACCCTGGCACCTCAGGGCGCAGACACTGGCTCCCACTGCTAGCAGGCGCGCAGGCGAGGCTGAGTTACTTGCACAGCTTGCGCCAGAAGCTCCTTTAGAACAAGCTGCTGCCACACACACCAGCACCGGCCCCCGCCACCCTGCCAGGCAGTGGCCTGACCCCGACTGCAGCCCACTCTGCCTGAGACAGATGCAGGCACCGCCGCCCTAAGAGCTGGCTCTTACCTCCCACCCAAGGCTACATGACCCCCAGAGCTTGGAGCATTCTGTGCCATTTAGTAGACAATTCGCTTCTTTCAAAATCGTGACCAGTTACAGGCCAAAGAGTTGAGGTGAGCTAATGCGCTGCCACCACCACCACCAGTGGCAGTGGCTTCTAGAAACAACTTCCCTAGATCAAGCTGACGACCGAGCAAGCCTGGGAACGCAAACCGCCTACAGTACCTAGGGTGAACTTCATGAGAGCTTGTTTGGGATCCAAGATATAGTGAGACTCTTCTTTCACATCAACAATTGCTGCAAATTCTTTCACCCGCGTGGCGCTCGGGGCACCCAGCCTCTCTGCATACAACCAAAATAAATTGGAATCCAAAAGGTAGATGTTCAGGGTCTTGTTGGTTCTGCAGCTCAGGCCAGTGAAGTTTGTGCTGTTCACGTCCACGTCGGGGAAGAGATACCTGGTCTCCTCAATGTGAGGAAGGGAGCTTGGCGTGTCAACCTCGCACTTCTTCTCCAGGGAAGACAACGCGATGGTTGGGGCTCCGAAGACCCCAGGTCCAGAATCCAGGAGGCTCGCCACGCCCCTGCTTATGGTCCTGCAACATGCAGTGTAGTAGCTGAAGGGGCTGTAGGAGCTCAGGAAGTTGCGGCATTCCATGCTATCTGACGCCACGTGGTGGAAGGTCTGCTCCTTGAGGTAGAAAGAATCCAGAGCCGCCGCCATCTGGAAGAAGCTGCACTGGGGCACGCTGACCGAGCTGGGCCGGAGGCCCCCGGCCGTCTGGTTGACGCACAGCTCGCAGACGTTGTGGGTCCTGGAGATGGCGTGCCACCGGGGCAGCACCACTGTGTTGCAGCAGGGCGATGCCGTGATCAGCGGCGGCTCGGGCCGCTGGGCCGGGGGCTCGGGGGCCAGAGAGCCGGAGAGCGGGGCGTCCACGCGCCGGAGGTGCTGCAGGAGCCGCTCCACCACCTGGTCCCTGTGACAGTTGTTGTACTCCAAGGCCACTTGGGTGATCTGAAACACAGGGCGGGGCTGGTGAGAGGCGCGGGAAGGGGGGGGAGGAGCCTGCTGCGGAGGGGCCTGGAAAGCTCCGAGTCTGATCCACAGGAACCCCGTCGGACGCCTCGGCCAGGAGTGGTCACGGCAAAACCTGTCACGAGAAGCCTGGGTGGTTCTCAGAAGGTGTCACTCTATTAGCAGCGTGCACCCACCATTTACAGACACGGCGTCTCGGGCCACTGTGGGACGAGAATGAAGCCCTGGGGTGAGGCGGCGACCTGTGATACAGCTGGGCCGCAAGCACCGGGACAGAATTTAAATCTCTCAACTCCCAGCCAAGAGCACTTTCTTTGATGTGTTTAAAACTCCCCCTAACAAAGTCTTCTTTCTTCACCCCAATAGTCTAAAACCTTCCCCCAACAGCTTCACAAGGATCAAAATACTTCACAGCATTTATGTTACCGAATAAATGTGTCTCCCCTGCCCCCAGCCCCGAGGCTGCAGTCAACCTGTTCCCCATCAGAGTCACCCACCCTGCTTCCCCCACAACCTTTCTCCTCCAGGACCCCCCCTGTCTGGGGAAACAGGGTCAGCGAATTAGAAAGCTCAGTGGCTCTGCAGTTTCCTCTCCAATCCGGGGGCCCCGCTTCGAGCGAGTCCCTCCGCCCCTGCGCATCAGGCCCTCGATCACGGACCACCACTTTCCCCTCCTGACCTAAGTGAGCTTCCACACTCCCACCTTTAAAAAGACAAAACACCACCCTACATATATGTGAGACTCCTCCCAAACGACTCAATGGTTTCCTATTACCTGAAAAATAAAACCTACACCCAGTCTGGCCCCCACTGCTCTTCCAGTCCGGCCCCACCTCCTGAACCAGGCCGAGCCCTCTCAGTGTTGTTTCAGGCCAGGCCCTGACCCAGCCAGTCTCAAGACCCCGCGCCAGCACGGCTGCTTCAGTCAAGTCAGCCCCGGGTCGCACCCGGGCGGGGGAGTTGCGAGGTTCTAAGTTGGCAGCTTCCTAGAAGCGCCCCCTTCCCTTCTGCTCCCCATCCCAGTCTTCCCGGTGCCTGCTGAGAGACCCACAAGCTAGGGGCCCTCACGGGCGGGGACCACTTTTCCCGCTACCCCTGGAGCCTAGCTCAGGCCAGGCACCTCGTTGTGCCCAGCACTCACCCGGGACGAGTGCACCTCAGCGATCACACGCTCTGCTCTGTTCTCAGTCAGCGCCAGCATCTCGGATTGACATTTCACCTAGGACACTCCCACTTCAAACTGAGCGTCCCTCACTCCCGCCCTCACCCATTTCACGAGTAGAGGAGCCACGGTCCAGCCCAAAGGACCCGCTCTCACAGAGACCGTGTGCTGGGTCAAATGTCGACACACTTCGTTAAAAGGTGTTCAGTCACTCAGGACTTCGTTTCGTCCAAGTGTCTGTGTGTGAAAACCATCTAGCGCATTTCCAATTTTCAAAAAACCTAAATTCTCTGACATGTAATATTTATATAGAGTTGACTCAAGACAGATGCATTTATACAGACACAATGTGAATGGTTCTAGGCATTAGAAAGTCACGTGAGACGACAGTCGTGGTTTGGCCTTTCCCCCACACAAACACACCTCAGTCCTTTCACACGGAGCAGAGGGCTCCGCCTCTGGCCACCTACTGCTTCCTTCCAAAGACACAGCCACAGATTTTCACTCACCCTCGAAAAGGTTACACAACTACAAGAATTTACTGTAGTAGGTGAACAAACAGCCCAAGTAGAGTGCATTTAATGACTAGTCCAAGCAAATTTACTAGAAAGTCTTCCTTACTACTTTCATTCTTTTTCTAAGAGTCTACTCATTTATTTTGGTGTAGAAGAACTGGGGTACAGGTCAGAGGTGTGGGGAGTGAGAGGACTCAGCAGAGACAGAGTGGGGAGCAAAACAGGCGGGTCTACTGAAATGCACAGCTGAGGGGAGCAGCGGGGAGAGAGGCGAGGTCTGCTGCACCCTGTGGGTCACTCCCTGGCCGGGATCGAACTCTTGTGCTGCAGTGATGATAGCACCGAGCCTTAACCCCTAGGGTCACCAGGAAGGCCCTTGCTTCATTCTTAATCTCTCTCAAGCAAAGCAATCAAAAAAGGGTATTTTTAGTTAAAGAAATGTTTATTTTCTTATAGTAAAGATCTAGAAGAGTTCGCCAGTCACGCCCTCTCAGCCAGCATGTGCTGGCTGCCTCGAAGCAAAGCCTGCAGCTGCCTGCAGAGCTGGAACACGGCACCCACACGGCCACCGCAAGTGCTAAGCACAGTGCGGTGCCTCGGGACAGCTCAGACCCAACACGTTGGGGCTCAGCAGGCTGCAGTGTGGAGGCGCCCCTGCTTCCCGAGAGGTGCCGAGCGTCAGCAGCTGCCGGGTCCTGGCTGGAGCTCCGGACTTGTTTTCCGCCCCACAGTCTCGGGTCTCCTGCCGGCCCTGCTACGTCTCCCCACGAGCCGCCTCTGACACCCTCACTGGCAGGTGCTCACTCTCCCACCCACACTCTGCCACGACCTCGTCCCCACTATGTGAGCTTCCTCAATTTCCTGCCCCAAATTAGGCCCAAGGGCAGTAATGGAAAAATCAGGCTAAAGTCTCCAACTCTCTCACAGTCGAGGAGCTGATGAGTTTCGACTCACCCATGTCCCCCCCCCAACTCTGCCGCGTAGTCATCTCTGGTCACTGCATCCCTACTGCATCCGCTGGCCCCATGCCTCATCTCCCATTCCCGCCAGCATCTAAGCTCAGGTGCTTCCAGAACCTGAGCAAAGGTGACGCATGCTGTGTGGTCACCAGGACTGGGATGGCCAGAGAGAGAGGCGCCTCCCAAACTTTTCTCTGGGTCTCTCCAATCAGCCCTTGGTGAAAACACAACCTCACCTAACCTGCTGCCACTTCCCCAGCCCATGCCGCCTGCCTTCACTCAGGTCCTCCCTACCCTTGGATTTCTCTCCACCCTTCGAGATCAAATCCTCACCGTACTCAAAGCTACTCCTGCCCAGCCCTCTGCGTCTGGGAGAGCTCCCCCCTCCTCAGCCCGGTCTGGGTGACCTTCCTCTGTCTTGACTCACAGGTAGGCTCCCCTGTCAGCAAGCCCCTGAGAGGGGAAGCCCAAGGCCAGGCCTTCTCCACCTTTCTCCCCTGAGGCTCACTGGCAGAGTCTTCAAAAAACACTTGCTAAACTGACCTGAAAGGAGAGGGAAATGAAGCAGACAGTAAGTAATCCACAATTCTCCACAGAGAGGATGGGTGTTAGCAAGGCACCCGCATGCTGAGATTAAGGGAACTCACCCACCTCACAAGGACACGATAAGCCTTGAGAGAAAGAAGGCCAGCCCCTAGGTGGGGGACTCTGGGACAAAGTGTGGAAAGTAGGCCGCCCTCCCACCTCAACAGAGAACTGGATGCCAGTCACAAAACACTACCAACCCTGGGCCCTGATGTGCTCAAGGTAGAATTCTCCAGAAGGAAACTTAAAAAGCTAAAGTAAAAATGCAAAACCATAGTTCATACCTTGGTTGATAGCCCCACATTTCCTACAAAGAGCTTTTTCCTTTTCTTTTTTTTTTTCAGGGGAGTGTGTGAAGGCAGCTCTGATGCATATTTAGGGAACCCGCAAGGATCGGCACATCCGGAGTGCAATGGGTAAGCCTCGCCCGGGGAGAACCACCTTCACGGTCACGGTGTCTCCCTGCCAGGTAAGTGTCCTCCAAGAGCCTTAAGAGCCTTAACATCAGACACAGTAATTTAGAAGAGTTTCTTAGTTTGTAAAATGCATAGTGAACATTTTCTAAAGAAATGAAGGTTTTGACTTTAACTCTTGCTTAATCAGAGGGGGGGAAACAAAGCCACTTCATTTCTCTGCTTTCTTTCTCTGACCCGGGGTGGGGTGGGGGCAGCATTGATTCAGAATGCTCCCCAGCAGGGATAATAACTTGAACATGGCTCCAGAGCAGTAAAGGGAGGGGCCTGCCTGGGCAGGAAGCCCCACAGCCTGGCCCCAGCATGCGGACAGCAGGCCGGAGGAAGGGCCAGGGGAGGCAGTGGCCGGTTAGCCTGGCCAGTGGTGCGCTGTCTGAAATTGGCTTTGGCCAATTAGGGATCCTTAATGAAGGCAAAACAAAAAAAGCAATAATCCCAATTTAGCAGTCCCAGGCACTCTGGTAATTGTTACTGCTCTAAGTTCTCCTAAATGCTCCATGTATAAAACAAGTTCATAGTCCAGAAAGGGCAGGAAGAGGGGTAGACGCCTGAAGGTAGTGACACTGAAATGTGCTCGGGCTAGCTGCAAGGCAGGGAGGCTTCCGAGAGCAAGGAATCCCAACCTCGCCCCTGCTGCCCTGCCCTCCAACCCACGACAACGGCCTCTGAGGCCGCCCCTGCCCGGGGGGCTGCCCACTCCCTTGGAGCCATGCCCCAACAGCCGAGGACCTTGGGTGCTTCCCCGGAGAGGCAGGTCCGCCCCCTCACTCGCCCAGACCCAAGCAGCTGTCAGTATACAAGCCCGGAGGGGGCGAGGCATCCTCTTTGGGGCGTGGGCCCTCCTGCCCATTCACCGGACAAAGGCGGACAAAGGCGCGAGGCCTCCAAAGCCAGCTGCAAGCTCTGCGGTGGCTCAGCTGGAGTGCAAATCCTCTGCACGTCACAGGGGAGTCCAAGGCAGTGAAGCTTTCCTGCCAGTGAGAGGCCTTTCAGCATGTAGCTCTTACCTCATCAATTAAAGGATGATTTTCGGCTAAGGGATTAAAAGGTATAAATAAAAAAAGTGCTGGTCCCTTCTTCAGCTCATTGTTCAGCAGGAGACTCTTGCCGCCATGTGGCCGCAGCCATCGGAGGAGCGTCTCTTGGTTCTCTAAGGCCCACTCGTAAATGTTCTCTGCTGTGTAGTTGATGACCTCCCTGGGGAAGACCTGTAGAGGACAAGTGCACAGAGGTCAACAGCCAGGTCAGGTCAAAGGCACCCGTGCAGCACCCAAGAGGCCTTTCAACCCACCACTTCACATGCACAAAATGCGGCCGAGAACAGCGAAGGCACCTAGCTCCACTGGTCCACACAGAGCACTTCCACACAGGTGGGGGGAGAGCGCGAAAGCGGTGGCAAGACCTGAATTTCCCCTCGTGGCTGACCCGCCTACCACCACATAGCGCGCCCTGCCGGTGCCACCAGCAGTGGTCTGCACCACCCCGTGCAGAGGGGGACTGTTTGCTGCCACCTTTGGGTTTTGACAGAATGACGACTGCCTAAGGGGAAGGAAATCATGGGGTCAAAGGTCACTCAGATTCGGACCCTGGTCCCTCAGAAGCGGGTCAGGTGGCAGCAGCAGACCTCTCCGTCGAGGCAGAAATTTGTGCCCGCTCTGCTCGCCTGGACCCCCAGGGCTCAGCACCCAGCACCGCGCAGGCGCCGGGCGCCTGCCGGAAGAGTCCATGCCGGAAGCAGGGTGTGGACAAAGCCTGGTGCGCCTCATGTGCACGGGGTGGACAACCTTCGTGCGGGGCGCTCACTGGCTTTCTGAAAACAGAGAGCATGCCAACACAGAACTACTTTTGATATTCCAATAATATAAATCACTGGGTTCCAATTAAAACTCCCAAAAATGTGCTTTCGAGGGTTCTACAAAACGAGGTATTTGAAACCCCACATGTAGAAATTTAAATTGCCTTCTAACAAAAATCAGGTTTTATTTTAAAGTTTACTGATCCCCAATAATAGTTCATTTGATAACAGGATTTCTGCGGCTAAGCCAGCCAGCCCAATCAACCATGGGACGAAAGCAGTAAACCCAGTAGTTTTTGTTATTGTCAAAGTCCGACCTTCTTTCCTTCTTTCCTCCATCTACTTAAGTTTCTCCCTCAGTCCCCTCCACTATACTGAAATACGGCGCACGCCGGGTGCACAGCAGGCTGAGAGAGGAGGGAGGGGACGGACAGACGGCAAAGCAGAGGACAAGAGACGCGCCATGGGCGGGGCGGCCGGGCAAGGCTGGGGGGCTGGAAAAACATGTTCAGGTGTCATAATAAACATCTGTTTGGGAAAGGCAAACTACATTTGATTTCTGGGCTATAAACTGCAAGAGAGAGTGCACATCTGGGCTGCCGGAGAGCCGCAGAGCCGGGTGGCCGGCGAGGAGGCTGCCCAGGAGGCCTGGCGCCGCCGCCACAGGTGAGACTGGCGCAGGCCTGACCGGCCCGTGCTGGCCAGGGCTCGGGTCCCCGCTTGACTGGCCAGTCACTGGCACCATCAGGCAGTTACAGTCGGGAAATATTGAATCCAAATAAAGTCTTCACCGAGGGGGCTGCAAGAACAGCAGGAAGCAGAGCAGAAGCACAGGACTAAGCAGGGTGCAGGCCAAAAGCTCAGAAACAGCGGAGTTGGGGGAGGCCGACCAGCAGGCAGATGAGTCGGGGAACAAGACGGCAACGGGAAGCTGAGGCTCTCCGGGTGACGGGCATCAGCTTCTCACTGACAAGCGCTGATGACAAACTAGAACTGCAGAGCCCATTACATCAGCTACGGAGAAAGCGTGTCCCGGCACTGCTCCAATAAATGTAACACGTGCACAAAGGATGTGGCCCAGCGACACTTAACCTCTGGGAACTCAGGCCCAACGCAACACCTCTCCACCAGAATAAGCCTGCAGTTTGATCCAGGAAGGAAAACCAACAAGGACGCTCCCGAATCCTTGAACAGAAACAAAGACTCCTGGACGTGCATGTGCCGGTGCGAGGCTCCTCCGAGGCGGCTGGGCTTGAGGGGAGCTGCAGGCCACTCAGCCTGCGTAAGAGGCAGGAGGGTGCCTACATACTTCACCCAGTTCCCAAAGACCTGTGACTAGACAAGGTTAAGAACCTCTGCACTAATATAAACATGATTTCAAGATACTTACAAGCGATGTGTTGAAATGTCTATGTAAATACACACTTCCAGAGTGTGCTAAGGATACCAGTTTCGCAAGATGTTTATTTGTGATAACCCCAAATCGTACTGTTCCTAGGTAATCTGAAACAGAAAATTGTTCTGTGTTAAAGAAAAGACCTCTGCCTTCAGGCAACCACACACCCAGATGCACAAATTCCCCTGAGCAAAGTTCTTATTGTACCTCGCCTGTGCAGGGAAGGAAGCAGAGCTGAAGAGATCGGGCCGCTGTGTCCATCGCGATGACCTGGCCCTCTCCTGCTCCCCCGCCCTTGGGAGCCCAGGCGCATGTCCTGGCTACTCCTCACCATTCAGACCACAGCTCCGACCCACCTTCTCCAAGCAGCCCACCTGGGTCAGAAAGGGAAAACAGGGCTCCCACCTAACTCACGTCAGCACTGTGCTATTTACTAACAGCACTTACTACAGCTATATAATCTTACAGTCTATTCAGAATTCCTTTGGCCAATTTCCTCTTAAGTTCTGCAAAGCCTGAAGTTTTCTTTTTTGCCAGGACCCAGCTCCCGGCAGTACCTCAGGCATGCAGTAAGGGGTCAAAAAACAAAAATGGATGAATCTAGAACTTACAGAGAATTCATACAAATCAGTAGGGAAAAGTAAGCAATTCAAATGGGCAAATCACAGAGAAGGACATGTAAAAGCCTGACAAGTACATGAATATACACCTATCCTAACAATTTCAGGGGAAAGGAAAACAAAACACCACGTTGACCCTCAAACTGCAGTATGCAGCAAGCACTGAAACCAGCAGAGAAACGAGCGGCGTTGGTGGGAAAGGTAAACGGCGCAGATGCTCGGGAGAGCAACTGAGCTCAGGCGACAAGGACGCACGGAGCCACCGGGTCCAGTGGCGGAGCCACCGGGTCACCTGGAGGACAGTCGCCCGGCGTCCTCTGAAGTCGTGCGAAGCAACAGGGCAGGGCCAACCCTAGCGCGTCTTCAACATGCAGCAAGTGAAAGGGAGAAGAAAAAGCATATGCCTTTTTGTTAAAGAATAATCGAGCTCACGCTCTTAGAACAGTCTTTGTTCTTTGCACATGTACCGGGAATCTGCAGGACAATGAAAGAAGCTTTGAGTTTGGAGAGATGAGACGGTTTTATTCTTAAGCTGGGAAACCGTCTTGTTTCCCAGGAAATGAATGTGTATGTGTGCATGTATCATCTGTGTGACTAAAAAATCATTACCACATCTAGTATTAAAGGAGGGCAAGTAGGTGCAGGTTCTTACCTGTCCCCTGCCTCTTTATCCATAGACATTAAGTAAACTGTCACCTTAAATATCACCCAGTTATACCTAAGTAGCTAGTATAAACACGTGGAGTGCCCAGCTGACCCCTGGGGCCCCCACTTCCAGCAGAGGAAGCCTCTTTCTCTCAGAGAAGCACGGCTGCCCAGAGTGAAATAGGCACTGCTCTGGCCCTCACGCCACGCGGGACAATCTTCAGTACAGAGCCGAGAGTCAGAAATGGCACAGACCCAGAGAGACACAGAAGAAGCAACTCGGAACTCAGAGACAGTCCTTACAGGGCAGGTGGCCAAGGGGGACAGGAACTGGAGAGCAGGGATGAGACCTCTCGCTTGGAGTTCAGAGCCACAGCCTTGTTCAGTCCCTCACATAGTCCAACACTACATACCCCGTGAAACCCACCACTGGCTATTACGTGCGCGCTGACCACGACACAGTGATGGGGCAGGAGGAAGAACGAGAGATGGAACCTGCCAAACTGAAGATGTGAGAGCCAGGACGCTGGGCCCAGGGGCGGGGAGCAACGCTGGGCCCTGTGGTGTGAAGGTAGATTAGGGGGTTTTCTCTCTCTGTCTGTCTCTCAGTCTCCCTCTCTCTCTCATACACACACAGGATACAGACCCACAGAAGTGTGCCTCTGGCTGGGGACAAGCACACAGACACCCAGCACAAGCTGCTGAGAGGCCTCGGGGTGATGGCGCCTGAGGGCAGAGTAGGCCCAGCACGGAAGGGGTTCTACCCCTCCATTCTCTGATAAAAGCAGCCACAGCCCCTTGGAGACAGGCTGATTCCAGAGCTGGGGCAAGAGAGTCGGCGGCGAGCAACACGTTGTCTGAAGTGGAGTGGGCTCACGAGAGCAGGGGACTTGCTCAAAGGACACGGGAGCAAACCAAGACACACCCATTTGAGCAACAGATAAACAGCAGTCATACTCTTCAAAGTGTCAGGAAAACTGTGAAGAACTGTATGGGCTAGAGGAGACGAAAGAGAAGGGAATAGGCCGTGGGGGTTCCTGGGTTAGATCCTGGAACAAAGAGCAGACACTGGTGAAACCACTGGCAAACTCCAAAGAAGGCCTGCAGCTTGGTCAGTAACATGGCGCCCACGCTAAAATTCAGTTTTGGCAAAAGTATCACTACTCATGGTTACGTAACGTTGACACTGGGGAAGCCAGGGAATATGGGACTCTGTTCTACAACTTTTCCATGAGGAAATTAGATAAAAACACAATTTTTAAAAAATGGCCTAACAGGTAAGATTAAAAAGCAGGAAGGTAAGAGAAGATAGGAACTGGTCGGCCCAAGAGCCAACGCTGTCCCGGAGAGGGCTGGATCCTGAGGGATGGTCACAACTAACACAGGCGGAACCCATTTGCCCGCCCACCAGTCACCGGCAGGGTTTCCAGAAGCGGAGATGTAGGCAGTGGCAGAAGGGTCGGAGCGTCAGTGCGGACAAACTGTGCCCGCGCAGAGCAGGCTCCACCCCACGCTCCCAAGCAGCGATTTCACGCTGGTCTTCACGCATGCAGAATTTTACAAACCACACATCTATTTAAGGTCCTCCAGAGCAGAACTCCTCCTGGGAGAAGCAACTGAAATCTGCAGTCTCGTGTGTATAAAAATTCTTTTTAAAATTATCAGAGCAAGTTTATAGTGTAAGAATGATGCAAGAAAATGACACTTCATACCAATATCCAGAACATTCTCAGTTAAGCAGGGCTCCAAGGCTTTCTACAGAAAGGGTTCTTGTCATTATAAAATGAACTATTATGTATTAAAAGTAAATGCACTTCAATATTATAACTAAGACTTTGAATTTGTTAAATAAATTCAGAAAACAGTGCTCTCTCTTCTCCCACCAAAAAGAAAGCTTACATGGCCCTCCCTGGTGGCGCAGCGGGTTAAAGCACTGCACTAAGAAGCTTAAGCCACTTCCGCATGAGTTCGATCTCTGCCTGCCCCGGAGGAGACCACATGGCGCGGCAGACCTCTCCTGACCCGCCCGCTGCTCCCCTCAGCAGTGTACTTCGTCAATCTGCCTGTTCTGCTCCCCACTCTGTCCCTGGTGAATCCTCTCACCCTCTGCATTTCTGGCCTGTACCCCAGTTGTGTATGAATAAATAAATCTTAAAAAAAAAAAAAAAAAAGAAAGAAAGAAAGAAAAAAGAAAGCTTATAGTAGCATGATCCTGATCAATTACTAACACTCAATAAGCCCCGTTAGTCAGACAGCTGGCCAGTGTAACGTGCCCATTATCCCTGCGAGTGAGAGGCGTCAGGAAGACCCCTGGGAGACGAACCAGATCTTGCAAGCACGTCTGGGTACAGGAAAGTGGGTCGAGGTGACCGCAAGCACAGACTCGCCTGCTGGCTGCTTGCCTCAGAGGTGCTGAGCCTTTGGTCCTGGGCCCTGGGCACCACCACCGAGGCCCCGCGTCAGCCCGGGCCCGACGGTAGAGAGCGCCGACCCCTCCACGCTGGCTCGCTGCTGTGCTCTGGCTTCCTCACTTTGATCCGTTACAGCTCATCTGCACTTGGCACCCGTGCACCCCGGTAAGGGCGTGTGTGAGGTCCCCAGCTATCTCTCGTGAGTTCGGTTCTCCTCGGCCACTAACAGAATGCTGCCCCCGCTCCCCAGGCAGAACTTTCCACTGAGCTGTGCCCTCAAAGCTGCTGCCACCATTTACCTCATGGCAACCCCTAGGAAGTATCGAGAATGGAAAGGCCTGAAATATTCTCTGGTTTCCACTCAGATTCATGAGGCTCACTTATGATCTCTCTGGTTTGCATCAAGACTTCTAGATTTTGGCCTTTGGCATGATGTTTTAATATCAAACATTTTTGCCATTTGCATTAAATTCAATTTAGCAATAGGGCTCAGGATACACACTCTGAGGCAAGAACTACTTAAAGTGAGGTAGAATAAAGTTCTCAAACATTCCAGAAAGAACAAGAAAAGTCTTGTTTGTAACAGACCATTTTATTAATGTCTGCTTTCCTACTCTTCTGTCTGAGGGTTTAGACAAGGAAGAAAGAGGGGAACTACAGGATGATGCGAAAGCGCTCAGTCACCCCTCAGGGTGATTTCATAACCGGCCACTGTGAGGATTTCACACATTTCTCAGGAGGGAAAGAGACATTCATCAAGGTGAAACGCCTTCAAAAAAGGTAAGCACTGAGGAAAGGTTTGTCATCAGTGCGTGAGCGAGAGCTACTGCATTTTTCCCTAGGAAAGTTGACTGGGGGGGGGGGGGTTGTGTATTGTCAAAATCCTTAACATAAAGCACAAAGCAGCGATCTAGAAAAAACCTGTGTGTGGAAGCCACAGACACGATGTGCATTCTGGAACTCTGCGAAGTAAACACGGAGCTCCCTCTTGATTTTTCGCCTTGTTAGGGAGCTAGGGAGGAGGGAAAGAGAAATGGTTCCAAACATGTTATTTGGGGGAGCAAAAGCTTCAGCACAACACACACAGAGCCACACGCAGGACAGGAGACACCATGTCCGCTCCCGTCTAACCAGAGCACGATAAAAGGCCTCGGACTCCCTCGGAGGGGTTCCACGGTGCCCCTTTACACCCTCAGGGAGGAAGGATGTCAGAGAAGAAACTCGCCCGGGCGCCCTCTAGCACGCGTCACAGGCTCGCGTGTCCTTCCCAAACGGAAAACAATTCCTAGCAACCGTGCCCACTAGGAGAGGCCACGGGCAAGCGCACATGCAGCCGAAGTGTCCTCAGAGGTCATTAGGGCAAAGTATCTCCCCGGTGAGGGACCTAAAGATTAGAGAGAAGGGTGAGTGGGTGGCCAGGCACACACAGGA